AGCCCTTCTCTCCAGATACATAAGATTATTCATGAAAATGAGTGTACTGCATTTATGTTTACATGATCCTCAGCCAGTTGCATGGCAACTGGAATTGTCTTTACTTTTATGCATATTAAAATCACTCAATAGATACCTTTTCAATAATTAATTGGTAATGAATGTAGAGGCTGTAGAATGCTTTATCCAATGTGTTTAGGCTTTATCCAGTGTTAAACTGGATAAGCAGGCTTTGTTTTTCTTATTAGGACTTCTTTCACAAAAGATGCCATTTACTGCTCTCAGAAATACCAGGCAATAAAGAAAACCCAGGAGGAGCTGAGTGACCTGGGCAGTGTCAAGGCCAGCCAAGTGTCTGTGTTTGCAGGGCACAGGACAGAAACTCTGGGACAGAGCAGACTGTAAAATTTACACAGAGAGGGAGGCAGCAGCAATTTTCAGTCCATTTTCACCACTTCTGATGTTCCTGACACCCACCCAGTGCCTGTCTCTCTTTTTGGACACCCCCAGTGTGCAGGTTCCTCCTCTGTTGGCACCAGAACAGAGATGCTGTGGCTTGAAATAGTTCTGCTGGGCTTTCTCTCCTCTCTTTACTGACTGTGACATGAAGGGTTTCCATTGCATGGAGAAATGAGCACTTGTAGACTCAATAAATATTTTTCTTGTTCCTTCTTGCTTTTTTCCTAGCCTGTTCCAGGTGAAAAGGAAAAGAAAAGGTCAACTCAGCTGTGTCTGCATCACCTGTCAATTTAATCTCTCCCCATCATGCCTTTGGGCTTCTCTCAATAGAGATTTGGGGTTCCAAAAACTGCACTGGCTGGGACTGGAAAGCCTTTCCTATTTGTTGGGAATGTGAACAAGACTTTTTCTAAAAAAAGACTGAGGCAAACATCTGGTTTCTGCATGGTTTATGCTTGTTTTAACATAAGATGAAGTAAGAGGTTTCCTCAAGTCTCCTTTGGCCTTGTTTGATGGGACCAGATCACCGATGGATGCTCGTGCCTTGCAGAAGAGATGTGCACCTGCTTGTTTGGCCTTGCAGCACTGCCTGAGCTGCCTGGTGACATCAGGCACTGCCTTGCTTGTCCCCTTGTCTGGAGTCACCCCTGTGTCCCGATGGGGACCTGCTCATGGATCTGCACGTGGGGAGCGGGGGCAGAGGAGCCCTCGGTGACCCCGTGAGCAGCAGCAGCAGCATGTGCAAAGTATTCAGCTGATACTTCTTCCTTCCTCTCACCACCAATGCAACAGAAGAAGTCAACTGTCCCCTGAGAATCTGGCCTTTTGATATCGATTTTATAATTTCTAGCCACTTTCCCAGGAAAGTAACTATAAACATAAGTGTTTATGCATTCCATTAAAGATTTGCCTTTTGATGGACACCTCTCACAGCCAGTGTGGTTGGGAAGGTGTTAACCTGACTCTCCAATCCCTGGTTGTTGTCAAAAACCTATAAATACTGGAAGAGCAAATAAACTTTTTCTTCTTTCACCACACTTCGAGCTGCATCCATGTGAATCATTTTATGTCTGAAAATGACAGTCAATCACGTTGTTTTATTTACACATAAATACCCTCATGTGTGCATTTATGGCCATGTAACACACACAAACCTCTTTGCTGATATGGAGGCTCTTCTGTCAAAGGTGACTTTGGGGTTTGAGGTTCCTTAGAACAAGGTGTTCCCAGCACTGGGATGGGAACCCATCAACAAATCTGCATATCTGTTCCTGCAGCCCCTCAGCTGGGGACACAGTTACCATGGCTGCAGGATGCAATCGTGGCATCTCATATAAATGGAGGACACTATGGATTGTTCAGTTTTGCACACACCATTACATGCACACACTTCTTAAAACAGGGCTCGGGGCATAATTGGCAGCCAATGGAGCTTCACCAAGTTGGCTGCATACATTTGGTTTCCCTTATTTTTACATTTTAGAGAGCTGTTCATGCTGATTCACAGAATCTGTCTTAAGGCCTTGAATTTCCTCCTAGATATTTCTCTCTGCATAGCTCTTGTGTTATGTACCTAAAATAGATGATGTGGTCAGCCTTTTAGAAGTGCTGGTTGTGTTCTGCTTTATCTCTATAAAGCAAGGAATTGAGTGTTCCCCAAAAGGCTTCCCAAGTTTGCTCCCAGAAACAAAAGCACAGGAATTTCTTGAAAGCTTGAGACAAGATACATGTGGAGGAAAATTTGACAAAGTAGTTGAGTTTACTGCTGAGCAAGTTTCTGGGGAAAAAAAAAGGAGATTCTCTCTTGAAAGCCAAAGATTACACAGCATATTGAGGACTCTAGTGTTGATCCTGAGGGTGAGCAGTTGCCTTGGGTGCTCTCCTGGGCTCTACACCAGTGTGAGCAACCTTGAGCACAGAGGCACCAGTGTTGTTCCAGTTGTCCCTGGCTGCCAGCTGATGAAGTGACAATGGAGTGTGATAATTTTCCAGCCAGTACTGGATTCCAGAGCCACTGCAGCCCATTAACACCTCCTAACAATCCTGTATGGCTTTGCTGAACCTGAAAGGCATTAGAGTAAGGACTCAAAAATCTGAAGCCCATATGAAACCGTGAGTGTTCCTGGGACAGCAAAATTAGAAGCTTTCAGATGATTTTTTGAGCCAGTTTGAGGCTGGGAGGCACATGTCTGAAGAGTTTTCTGCTTGAAAGCCCAGCACGTTGTGTATGGGCTTTATGTGAGGGGAGAACCTCTGGGCTGCTGCACGAGTGCCCTGCTCATCTCCCCTGGTGCAGAGACAAGAAGGGCTACAGTGAAGATGGGAATGATCCAAAGGAATTAAGAGATAATGGGGGACAGAATGTCTTTATTAAGACATCCTTCCACTTCTATCATTGCAGACAAGAAAATGGTGCATAAAAGAGTTTCTCTAAAGCTACAAAAGTTAGTCCATAATTTTTGTCATATATTACCTGCATTCTAGCTGCTGCATGAATTATCCTTTAATGATGTGCACTGCATAATAACCTAGAGAGATAGATACACCTTAACTATTATCTTTTCCAAATGGTGCAGGAGCACTGGACCGGTGCATTGCACCACAACTGAAGCAATCAGGCTGTAGATATTTAGTCTGGAAAGGTCTAGAGAATATATTTCCCATACCACCTACTCACCACAAAATGTTTCCTGTGACTTACTTAAGACCTAATGAAAAAGATCAAAAGGCTAAACTACACTAGAGGAAAAGAGAAGTCAAAGTCATCAGCAGTGTCCTAAAGCCTGGGAACTGCAAGTAACTTGCTGAAATTCCCAGGAAATCCTGGGATGCTGGTAGTGCAAGCAAAAAATCCGGAGTGATTGCTATCAGTAGGGTTTGGAGGAAAGCTCTGTCCTTAATCCAAGATCTTGTGATGAGCTGAGCTCAGTGCACACAGGTAAGATATACCAATGAGTAAACTGTGGCTCTAATGTTACTGTAGGTCCTGATTTGCCTCTCTTGGTGTCCTGCTCTAGTTAGGGATCAGGGAAAGCAGTAAAAATCCTCAGAGTCAATTTTATCTCTTGTGATCCTTGCAGCAAAGCAGTGGAAAACCTGAAAGATGGGATTAACCCAATGTAAAGATGAGGTGGGCATGCTGTGAAAAGATTTAAAGCAGCATATTTATTATGTCCTTACTGAAAATATTAACCTTTTGTAACAAGATGAGAGAAGCTAAGTTAAGATGACCTGGCTGGTTTATAGCTGTGTAAGTGCACAGTCTGTACAGATATCCCTGCTTCAGATAGCAATGAGAGTTTTCAGTGGCCACCAAAATATAAATTTCAGTCTTTGTCTTATTAAAGCCCTGACTCAGCAGATCCCTTCAGCACTGCTTTGCTTTCAATTGCATTATTCACAAACTGGCTTAAATGCTTTGGACTCCCCAGTTTGATTCCAAGTGAGATAGGAAATGGCAAAATTTGGAACATGGAAGCAATAGGTGCCCTAATCCCCTGATGTCCTTGGTGCCAAGTTGTGTTTCAAATCTGGCCCATGTGCAAAAGATCCTCTTCCCTCTTTATAGCTCATTTAGTCAGGGGTGTTTTTGACAAAAACCAGCAAAATATCCAGGAATTACCTAACGTGCTTGCAAGGGATTGTCCAATGGTTTGTGCAGCGTTCCCATGCAGGGGTTATATAAAAATGTTCTGTTGCTATGTGAACTGGAGGTTTGTTTTGATGTAGCATCAATACCCAGGAGGGGAGAAAGGGGTGAGGGGAGGGAAAAGAAGGGAAGACACTGGCATAGTGCCAATCTCTGGAGTTTTTTCATGATAAATGGCTCACAAGGAGTCAGCATGACCCGCCAAGTAAACCCAAATGCTCTCAAAGAGCCGTGGGCTTCAGATACTGCTGACAGACAAGTACTCCTTATCAGCCTTTTTGTTTAAACACCCAGGCAGAGCATGCACAGGCAGGAGATCTGCAGCAGCAAGGGAGAAGCAGGCCAGCAGAGAGGACTGCTCTGGCAGATAATGTCCACCCAGATGTCCACAGCTGATTTCCACCCACTTGGACTTCTGCAGAAGCTTTGCATTTCCCTTCAGCTGCAGACACAGGTCACAGTAGATCCCCTCTGCTGCTGCTGCTTGCAGTAGATGAGTTGTGGAGTGTAGTGAAGGCTTCTTGGGTTTCTGAAGGGAGGAATTCACATTCAAAACTTGATTGAGATGGGGCTGTCCATGTTTCTGTAGTACCTGCATCAGAGGCAGAGCTTCTCTGCACTTGGGTTGGTTTCTGTTTTGTCCTGCTTTTTGGTGCTTCGTGTATTTGACTCAAGTGAAAGGTTTGGGATGAGTAGCTTTTAAAATGGATTTAATATTTATTCCTGATATTTTTTTCTCCTTATCCACTCTCTCCTAGAAAGTCTCAGTCTTGTTCTGATGGCAAGTCAAGACATGAGCTCAGTGGTGGTTTGGGGAATGCTTGTGCACCACTTAGATCTCCTCCCTGATTTTATAGAATGTCTGTCAGTGCAGCCCCCGCAGTGCATGAAGCAGCCCTTTGCTAACAGAGACTGTAATGCACTCAATTTACACTTGCAGGGAACAACTACAAGGACAACCAAAGATATAATTAATGTGAAATAAGTATTCCTCAGCAGAACAGTCTTAGGGAATTGATGAAGCTGAAGAAAACTACTTTTCCCCAGTTACTCTCAGAGGGAATTTCAAAGCAATGGAAAATATTCAGGGAAGTACTCAAATATAAGAAGACATATTAGAAAGAGCTTACCCTTAACTGAAAGTGAACCATTCAAATCCTGTAAACCTAGGGAGAATGAAAGAAGATAGATTGAGAAATTAAAAATGTCAACCAGAGACAAAAGATAAAGGATTGAATCATGAGTCTTCCACTGTTTGGGTGAGTGTAATCATCCCTCCCTTATCCACTTTGCTGTGTATACAAAGGACAGGCGACGGGGGAAATAAAAAGGACATTATGAAGCATCTGTGGTCACAGGACATTTGAAAATACGAAGTATTTTAATAGTAGCAACTATGAGCAGAGTGGATTAAATAGGTGCTTTGGTGAATAGCTGAGTTAAATGATCTGCAAGCACAGAGCTGTGAAGATAGAGCCTGGTGTCAGCAGCAGTGAGACGGGGTGAGCTGGCAGGAGACATCTCCTGGGGGAGTGAGGGGAGCCGAAGAAGCTCTTGGAACAAGCTGTGCCTTGTGTCCCTGCTCCATCTTGGGCTGAGCTGGAGGCTCTGCACAGTGCAGAGAAGCTCTGGGCAGCAGTGCTGCTGTGGGCTACAGGAGTGGTGAAGCTACACAGGTTTTGTGCCTGGGTGAATCGCTCAGGGGGGCTGATTAGCCTTCTCTCTTCCTGAGCTTTGCCAGAGTTAGTCAGGGGATTTTTGTGCTGTCCTTTGCTGTAAGGTGTTGATGGGTCTTCAGGGCTTGACCATGAACTTGTGATCAGGCTGAGTGCTCTGTGGTTCCCATAAAGCACAAAGAGTTAATGGAATACCATGTGGTGAGCACAATGCAGACACAAGAGTTAGTGCTTGCAGTCCATACCTGGCTTTTGACTTGACTTTGTTGTAAAACTTTATTTATTGCCTTGTGCATCTTAAAAATGAGGAGAGATGGCAGCAGGTATCACCTTTCTGCACAATTAAAGAGAAATAGGAAAGAGATTGGAGAGATATGGAAAAGGAGTGTCTAGGAAGCAGGCTGGCACAAGTGGGTGAGGCTTCCAGGGATGAGGAGGTGGCTTATCTGATGGGGTAACCAATTGCTTCCCCTCAACTTAAATATTGTTGCCATCAATGTGAAGACCCAACAGCTGAAATACATATTTGATTTTGTGAGTGGGACTTAAGTAGACAGAAAATCAAATTGGAGCCAAGAACTAGCCTACAGGCAGGCACATCCTAATGCAAAAAAAAAAAATTTAAAGGGATTTGAGCATTCCCTGTGGCATGGCTTCCTTTTCCCACTGCTGCTGATGCAGCATGGACTGGTTTCCCCCAATTTCCAGGAGACCAAAGAAATAAAATACTGTTCTGTCAAAACCAAAGTGCCTCTGGGCAGCAGATGAGGAGGGTTTGGAGCTCTCTATCTTTTATTGGTTTCATTTTTTTTTCCCCCTTTTCCATCCTGCATTTGCTCTTCAAGAAATTGTCATTGAGCGGGGGGGGGAAGGCAAACAAAAGTTGACTTTTGTTAAGCAGTGGAGACTTGGCAGTTGTATGGAGGTCATGGTGCTCAGTCAGTGTCAGCCTCCATTCCCCAGAGTTGTATCCTGTAATGTATTTATTTATCATTACAGACGGCCAAAATTTTTTTTTTCCCCTTTCAGTTTGTTCTGTCCAAGGCCGCAGGGTTCCGACAGAGATCAACAGCATTCCCGCAGTGATGAAGCAGCTCGTCAAAAGCTGAATTAGATGTTAAATCTTTCTGAAGTGGGGAGGAGGAGGAAGAAGGGGAATCACATTGTGCTAAGAATTTATCATGTGTTGTTTCCTGTGAGATAATGTATAGGAGAAGATTTGTTATGGTGCAAGTTTCAAACTGCTGTTTCAGGGCTACAGTGTCTGCCAAGCTTATGATGTATTTGATCTTTTCTGAAAGTCCTTCTTTTCCTTTCTACCTTTTAAGCAGACTGTCTTCCAGGTAGGTAAACACTTAAAATGCTCCATCTACTGAAATATGTACAGGTAAGCACCAAGATTTGCATGGATAAGAGGAATAAGCAGAAATAAGCTAGGTTAGACTGTGAGGTCCAGCGAGGCTCCAGCTTTGGACAGAAGGTTGGGTGCTCAAGCCACCCTGAGCTCTGCAGTTGGATATGTTAGATAAGCTGTGCAGGTGTGCTTTCTTCTGGAAACACGTGAATTTAGGGACAGACCCTGAGGAAAGCAAGGCCTTGATTTGCAAGGGTGTTGCAAAATGTGCCCCATAAAGCCTAAAGAAGCAACAGCCTGATAGTGTTTCTGAAAACATTTATTGACCCATTCTGCATCAGTGACCATCTCTTACAGTGCAGGTCACTTTCTTGAGCCTGTGCACTTGTAACCTGGTGGAAACACTCTTTGTGTTCTTTCTTTCCTCATACTCCTTTTATCCTTGGAAGGACATAGAGCTGAGCCTCATTTATGTTTTCTGATATAACAGTGTTTGCTCTCTGCAGTTGTTGAAAGGGCAGTTCATGTCCCTTATTAATGGACTCTAAAATGCACCCCTTTTAATCTAAATTGAGAGGGGGAAAGTGTCCAAAAGATTTTTCTCTCTGAATAAGTACCCTGGTGTAAGAACATTTGGGGTAGAATAGATTTGCTGCAATTCCTCAATAAAATGTCAAATGCAATGATAGATGAACGAGCAATCCTGAAGTTTACTCAATATTGTTTTGTTCCCAGTATCTAGGTCAAGATATTTCTGGTTTGTTTGAATCAGAGTTTTTACAGGTCTTAAATAACACTGTTAATATTATGAGTGGTTTGGTTATCAGGCAGGAAGGAAGCTTATTGATCAGCAGGAAAAGCTCTGTGTGCATATGAGCCATCTCTTCCTGCCTGGCTTTAATGAATCTGAAATCCAGCATGGGACGTGGAAAGTCCCTTGTGCTGAGGGGTGTGGGAAGGAAGCTTGTAGCACACCTGCCTCCTGCCTCAGCTGCTTGCCTGCTCTTTACCAGAGGCACCTGAATTACCTTTAATGAAACTTTTCCATTAAGCAATCCTGAAACTATGATCTACTGTGGACTTGGCTTGTGAGTGAGTGAGGTACAGGGGGAAGTCAAAAAATTCACCCACTGTTGAATGAATTTGGGCTCTGACTTTGGGTTTGAGCCCATTCTTTGTACCATCAAAGTGTTGGTTTGGCCTCTGGATTGGGTGAATGTGTTTGTCAGATGCTGGTTCCCACCTGAATATCCACATTGGGAAAACACATGACTGGTTTAAGCACTAGGCTCAGAAAATGCAAGCAGATACCAAAAGTGTCAAGGGTGAACAATACTTTGTCACTACAACCCCTAACTTCATCTGTGTTTGGGACCTCAATCAGCTACTCAGGTTGTTCAATTTCAGTACAAAGGACTTGGAGGAAAAATCCAGGAAAAAAAAAAGTTCTGACTTTTCTAGGCTGTCCTAAAAAGAGCTTTAGCCCATCCTTCCTTTTGGAGGTTTGTGATGCTGCCAAAGAAGTTCAGGGGATATTTTTTTTTTGCTTTTTTCTGCTTTTTGCTCAAAGCAGGAAGGTACATAAGTTGTGACATCACCTTTCTTAAGAATGGCTCCCATCTTTCACATTATATTATTTACAGAAAATAGGGCAGTTGCAGGAATCCCTGCGTGAGCATCATCATCACGAGGTGAAAGAAGATCTTGGTGATCCCACTGCTCATTCACTCAGTGAAACTTGAACCCTTCCTGTGAAGTAGTGAGGCTTTGACAGGAGGAGAGGCGAAGAGCAGGCAGCCAGGGAATTGCAGCATCATTCTGGGACATGGGAAATGTAAATTTGAAGCCCTCTGGTTGAGAAGTGGAATTTCTGTGCTGTGGTTTGGCCACAGCAGTGGGCTCTGGGAGGAGCAGAACCCACCTGGGAGCGCTTGGTACTCACCTGCAGCTCCTGCGAGGCATTGAGGGAGATGAACACCTGCTTTGTGGGGTCCAGGCAGAGCTGGGCTGAGCTTGGTGTGCAGCCCAGCTCAAGAGGGGACATGCCCAGATGCTGAGCTGCTCCAGGAGCACTGCTGATGGAGACAAGGACACGTAAAAAGGTTGGGGATTGGGAACACTGCCTGTTCCAACAAAGGCAGCCATGGGGCAGGTTGTGAGCTGCTCTGACAATTCACTCCTGCTAAAAGAGAGAAGTCTCTCTCTACCACCCAGCTCTTGGTAGAGCTCTGCTGGACCAGCTCAGCACCCTGAGTGCAGCAGTGGGGAGCTATCAGAACAAGTATCTCATGGGACTTCATCCAGCCAGGTGTCTGCAGAAGGTCACAATGAAGCAGAAAAATGAATCCTTCTCTGCCAAGCAGTTTTATTTACCATGTGTTCCTCTTTGCAGTTTCTGAAGGATCTGGAAGAAATTACAGGAGTGACAGTTGTGAGAGGGACGTACTCCAGATTGGAGGGGCTGGTTTGTGCTTTGTTACCACATTGCCTCTTCCTAGCAGAATGGATGTGCTAGTGGCATTCCCGGATTTCTTGAGCTCTCATGCTAACTCTGGTAAGTGCATAGAAAGGAAATAATGAGCATCATACAGGAAATAGCAGTTTAGGGGTTTCGTTTTGGGTTTTTTTTTGTTTTTGCAGATCTGTGTTTCAGGCTGGAAAATGCCTCTGTAGCCCACTTGGATAAGGGTTATATTGCTTTTCCTGGTTCTTTATTTGTTCCATATTCCTTTGTGTTGTATCAAGCTGCCCAGCCTGTGCTTTTGGAGAGGATTTGGTCCTGGCTGTGACACTGCAGGTCACACAGCAAAGCCTCCCAGTAAAGGAGTGTAACTGCCACAAGAATGTGTTTCCAGTGCACAGAAAAGAAACCCAATAGAAATGTGACATGATAAAAGATAAGCTGTGCTAAATAAAGATGTTTTCTGTGTCTCACACCCAGACATGGTGTATTTCATAATACAGCAGAGCACACTTCATCAGGATCCCAGGGAAGAAGCAGACCTGCTAAAAGAATAACATTTTTGTGCCAGGGAAATTATGCATTTAATAGCTCTCTGCTGTATATTGTAGAGAGATTTCCATCTACATTCAGCCTTGGCTAAAATGTGATGGCAACATGCTGTAGGAGCCAGTTCCTCCTCAGGGCTTCCTGTTACAACAATGGAGCTGTAAATGGTGTTTTGGAAGTGGCAAGTGTCAGAAGGCAGCAGGATGTCACTGCAGGTGGGAGGTGCTTTTGATTAACTGGCCCATTCAAATGATGACTCGTCCAGGAGAAAATCCGGTCAGGTTGCTTTTTAGATGCTTGGAGGGGAGGAAGTTTGACTGTGCTCTACATGCCTTGTTGCAGTGGATCCTGATCCTGATCCTTATCCAAATCCACTCTGGCCAGAGCAGAACCCCAGGGATAGAGTTCTTTTTCCTGCATGCAGCCTCCCCTCACCCCAGGCAGCTGCTGATGGGATGCAGCCTTTGCTGAGAGGAAGGATGGATGGAAGGGACAGACTTGTTGGTCTTCCTTCAACCTTTCTCCTACTGGCAATTCCTGCCCAGAATAAACCTCTGCTCAATGTATGGCATAGAAACCTTTCCAAAAGTTGCCAGCTTTGAGTGAAAAAAAAAAAAAATGGATATGATGTTTTAGTTTTGCATAGAGGGTTTGAAAAATATCACCTACAGAGTGTCAGGGTAACAACCTTTTGGGCACTTCCTTTCTGCAGCACTCAAAAGAGTAAAAAGTTTATCCCCTGTCACTTCTGTGTTTACTTGGGAAGGGATGTTTCTCTAGGGGAACTGGGACTGTCTCTTAGAGACCAAGCTGTCACTAAGAGATTCATGTATTCTGACAAAATGAGGAGAAAAGTCAATTTTACAAAGATATGTCTCACTCCTCTGTCCCTGCCTTCCCACACGTGCCTGTCCCACTCCAAAGGGAGACTGAAAGGAAAGAGGATGCTGAGTGGGACAGTGGAAGGTGCTCCTGGCTGATGCCAGTGGCAGAAGGACACAGCCTGGTCTGCAGGGACCATCTGCCTTGTGGTAGACAACCCTAACAGATTTGTTTTAATTTAGACCTCAAAGTCAATAGATTTGTTTCCTCTTCCACATTCTACTCTTTGAGTGATCACTATTTTCTGACTGTGGAAGGAGGAACAGGTTGGATGAAAATACTTCACAAGGTAGGAGTGGGAGAAATGCCTGTGCCAGGGGTGGCTGGGGGCAGGTGCAGCGTGAGGAGGGGAGCGCTGGGCAGGGTGGGCTGTGGATGCTCTCTGTGCCCATGGCATGGTGAGGGGCAGTTTCCACCCCCAGCAGTCACCAGTGGTGCTGCAGGACCTGCCCTGTGTCTGCAGGCTTGTGGGGGAGGCTAAAAGAGATTCTTGGCATCAAGTCTTGGATCTTGGATCCTCTTTGCTTAATAGATTGCTCTGTCTCCCTAGCGATACTGCTGCAGCTGCAAGCCACAGAGGCATTTTGGCTGAAGTCCTCTCGGTTTAAAGGAGAGAATACTGGATAGATCTGCTTGGCAGCAGCATGACTGAGTGCTCTCTCTCCACCCTGGCCTGGGGGAGTCCCAACTCTGCTGACCTGAGGGACACATCTCTTCATGTCCCAGGCTCTGGAGATGAGAGAAACAGTGTCTGCAAAAGTTTTTGGTTTATATAGAAAGATTTGAGGTCTCTGCCCAAGAGGCTTTTTTTTTTTTAGTGCCTTTTTTTTTCCTTTTGAAAGTTACTAAGTTTATTTTTGTCTGTGTGAGTTGGCCTGTTTTTTTTAATATATGGTAAAGGTGGCTAGAGTCCTGCATAGACACTTTTTTATATTTCATATAAACCTAAACAAATACATTAAATAAAGGTCCTTTCACCTCCAGCTTGATGGTTCAAATCCAATCGTGCTTGGGAACAGAAATGTTCAAGCAGTAAAAATAAAACATCTCCTGATTTATGAATAGAAGTGTCAAGCTTTGACTTGCTGTGATTACTGGCATCACATTATTTGTGAACATTCAGACAACTGCCAGAAATCCACGAAACACACTTGTGAATCCCAGAAGTTTCATAAACTTCAGCCTGAGTGGTTATTTACTTTCTGGTGGATAAGTGGGCTGGCTAGAGCTGTATAACGAGGCCAGCTAACTAATGCTCAGGTCTTAGAGTAATAATAATGAGCACAAAGCTCTTGTTCCTGTTACACAGCAGAAGGTGGCAATTCTGCTCCAGTTTGCACCAGAAAATTGCCATTTACTCTGGGGAGATGTTACTGGTTTAGGAAGCCAAGGAAGAGGGGATACAACCTGATTTTCAAACCTTACATTGTTTGCTGAGCCAGCTGCTGGGGAAAAAAAAAATCAGTTATTTGCTTCAAGGCTGAATTGTTCTACTGGAGAAACCACAGCAGTGGTAATGCCAGGTAATGCTGGCAGAGAACAGGAGGTGGTGGGAAATGGGGCTGTGGATCAGGGCTCTGTGCAAGGCAGAGCACATCAGCCACTCTCAATATTTGTACCAGTGCCTTCAAAAGCAAGGGAATCCAGCAAATCCATATGGATTTCACACCAGGAGAAGAGATGCCACAATTAAAGCCTAAATTTGAGGCATAGCTGTGCCAAGATGACTCTCTCCCCAGCAGACCCTGCCATATACCTATCTGTTGGACATTCAAAAGCAAGGGAGGGAATCCCAGGCTGTGGGAATCCTGGCTGAAAGCAATGGCAAGATGTGGCCTACAGTACTGCAGAGCTACTCTGGGACTAATTGAACATGATATTTTGAACATTTTTTAAGTGTTCTTTTCCTCTATGTGAGTCTTTATATTCTCTCACTGCTTTCTCTCCATCTGCAGAATGTAAAATTTAGAAAAGGTTATTATAGCAGCTTTGTCACAATATATGGTACCTGCCTGGGGAAGTGACAGGATAGGGACAACATGGCACAGTTTGCTTCTGCTACCACTCTGCATATGTGGGACTTTAAAACATTATTTGCAGTTTCTGTTGGTATTATAAATAATAGATCAGGTCCACAATTTATTTGCTGGAAGTTCCAGCAGATGCGGTGTAATTAACAGACTGTAATCATTAGGTTTTGGAGAGAGGGTGACATATCAATTTTTAACTGTTTTTCCGCTTAGAAACACATCCAAGTGGTGCTGCCTCCAGAGGGATATGCACATGGATGAATGCACTTTGTGCATGCCATTTTATATACATTCTCACTTTGCTTTCCAAGTACTAGCATGTGTAAATCCCTTTGGCATGTACAGATACGTGCAAGTGGGCTGTGCATCCATAGCATTTATTTACATATGGGAGAAAGCATATGTGGGATTGTGTGCACTGAGTTACACTGAAGCCCTTTGAGTGTTTGACCTTACAAAGTATCTCTTCAAACCTGCAACTCAGCGATTTGGTTCCTTTTGCCTCGAAAATAAAGGCAGGGTGACTTTGTGGAGGAGTCACGATATTATTTTAGGGGAAAAACTTTTTGAAGTGTATTGCTCAGTTGCCTTCCCTTTAATAGAGTAACATGAAAACCACAGAGGTGGAGAAACCAGTCTTGGTGGACAAATACAGGTGTAGCTGAGTGGTGCAGGTGTTGAGCTGGTACCCAAGTGAGTTCAGGTAATTACTCTTGGGGAGATTTTTCTTTCTACCCACACAAATAATCCTGTGGCTGCAGCACGACACCACAGGCTCTTTGCTGCTCTACAGGTCAGGTCTCATCTGCTCTACAGACTTGTCCAACAAGTTGATTTGGCTCTCAGGGTCCTCAAACAGGAGGAAGACTGTGGTGCTGTGGTGCCCATTCCTCACAGTAAAGCAGGACTTGGCCCACAGGGGTTAATCTCACAGAGGTGATCCAGGACCAGAATTAGAATTGGAAATTATAATTCTGGAAAAATTAATGGAAATATTAATGCATGCATTTGAGTTTTGAGGGTGGTTAAAATGGAGAATAAAAGTTCTGTGAACTGCTTTTCCTTTATATTTTAGGAGGGCTTCTATTGATTTTGTCCAGTAGCTCCTAACTTCTGCCAATAGTTCTGTTCTTTGTGCATGAATGTAAGGATGATGACAATATCTGAGATCATCTCCTTGAAATGCCAGTTTAAACCTGAGAAATTTTACTGGGGAAGCTGGTGAGAACCTTTTGGAAAACTAAACACCTACCACTGATTTCTTAAATGATTTTTTTTTTTTTTTAATTATAACTAAATGAGAATACCCCTGACTTCCCTTATGCAGGCAGTCTTGCCCACATAGATTTTTTTCTTTCTCTTCTTTTAGAGAAACCAAATGTTTCATTCTGTGTATTATAGGGGCTCTAATTCAGGTTTCCTGCTGTTATATCACTTTATTTAAGGACAGTACAGGAGGCAGGAATCTGAAACGACTGCCTGATGCTTAAGGAGGTGAATAATGACTTGGAGAAGACCTTGTGCGTATCTTTTGATCTTTGGGCTCCAGACACCCCTTCACCCATAATTAACTCGTGTGTTGACTGATCACCTGAGTGATCAAGGGAGACTCAGCATGTCAGTGGAGAGCAGGGAACTATTACTCTATGGCAAAACAGCAATCAAGCCAGCTCGTCTATGATACAAATCAGATACCTGCAAGAACAAGTCACGTAATGGCAAGCTGTACTGGAGATGGATGATATCCTAAATCATTATCTTCCATAGCATCAATTATGTTTACAGGGTAAGCCCATGCTATCTTCATGGCAAGCCCTGCATCCAGATAGCAGCAGCAGCAGCAACAACAAAAATTAAAATTACAGCATGAATTTTGGGAGGGGCAGGGCACTATGCACGACTGGCTAATAAATCAAGACCATCCGTGGATTAGATGGAGGGGAATGGGAATGGTTATCATTCTGTTGTATAAAATGCACAGCTTAGGCTCTATAGATCATCTAAAATATATATGAATTTGAAATCAGCCAAAAGATATGTCAGGCATTTTTCTTCTTAGAATTATGGCATGTTTTTAAAGCCTAAGTGCTTTTCAGTACAAATTTTAGCATGTTTTGCATTCAAATGAAACATCTACTCTACGTGTGAAGCCCTTGCACACTCTGCCTGCAGAAGTGGAGGGAATCACTGGATTTATAGGTTCTTTTGCACATTCTGTCAAAGTCAGTTCTGCCTAATGGAGCTCATGGAACAGGAAAGGCTTTCACTGCACAACTTTCCATGAGAGATAATGTTTGCTGCCTGACACATCGCAACGCCTAAACAAAGCCTCGAAATAAGTTTGTGTTAAAAGAAGGAGCCTCAGCTGGGAAGGGATTAAGTTAATAACATTTTCTGTAATGTCTTTATCAGCATTTCTGTGGCCAGTTTGTGACAATAAACAGGGGAAAAAAAAAAAGCTCATGTTCAAGATGGAAGTAAATTTCAGGCTGATATGAGTGATGTGCCTCATAACCAGTTATAATTAGAAGGGAGGCTTCTTACAGCACTGCTCCTCTATAAATCACAGCAGATATTACCCCAACTTGTACAACTACTATGAAATATGCTGTGAAATTTGAAACTCTTGAAAAATAGGTTCTTTTGTTGCAATTTCATTCTCAGAAAAGCTCTCATTTGATACAAGCTTACACCTTTTTTTGACTGGTTTCTTAAAACTAAGGTAACGAGCCTCAATTCCCTAGAAAACTGTTAAAATTTAAATTTAGTAAAGTCTTTTTTAGTTTTTTTTTTTTTTTTTATAATCACAGTTTGTGCAAGATGAAAGCATTGCATGTTTTGCTACACAGAGTCCTTACTTGGAAGAGTCTATAAAAAAAAAGTCAAGCAAAAGTTTTCTGTAGCAGAAGTTTCTTATCAAGCACAATTTTACACTAAAGAAGTCTGAAGTACTGGTTGATGGCTAATAGATGTGTATTTTCTTCTTCTCTTCTGACAGAGTCAGCTTTCACCTGGCTGGGTGCCCACCTGCATAATTCCAGATGTGACCATGGAGAGTCCACAGGGCAAGCAACCCTAGGGAAGAAGGTCTTGCTGGCTTGATGTCTAAAAACAAAATAAAAATCAAGTAAAATTCCTTCAGTCTAAGTCTTTTTCCTATGGTACTTTACTTTTAAGAGAAAATGGATGAGTTTATTTTAAGAATGTGTTCTCTGAAAACCTATGTACCATTCGGGACTGTTGGCATGGTAGGGCTGTAGCTGCTTCTATTGATCCTAATTTAAAGCTGTAATTGCAAATAAAAACATCATTATATCCCCCAGCTACCTTAATTGAAAGGATTGATTCACAGGGGCAAAGCATGATAAGAACTTCTATATGGGCCAAGTGCTTATGGCCATTTTAACACCCTCATTTTGGCATGGCTTGGGTTTGTTCATGTGTGGAAGAATTTCACAGACACTGGGGAGAAACCCTCACTCTTCTACTGTCCGACCTCATTTCTTGGGCTGCACTTGAAATAAAGCAGGGAACCTCCACAGGGCTCTGTGGGCAGCAGGAAGGTTCCTGGCTTGGCCTCCCAGATGTCAGAGCTGCCTGGAGAAGCCTCCTGTACCTGCAGGTGTCCCTGGTGTGAGCTCTAGCTGTGTGAAAAAGGGTTTAGACTGCCTGTGACGAGAGTGAGATGCTCAAGGGAACGAATTCTGTCAGGCTGGGTTCAAACATGTGGGACATGCTCAGCGGCTTCAAAAATAAATTAGCATTTTTAAAGAATTAAACACAACTCTTATTGCTTATTAGGTGAAATTGTCAGTTGTTTTGTCTTCCAGAGGTAAACAAAGAGCTGAGGGAGTCTCAGTCTCTCAGTCTTATGACCTTATGGTCACTGTCCAAAATACCAGCAGTGACGTTCCACACTGGAGAACTAAGAAGAAGAAAAGCAGATACTCAGCAGGGTTAGCCCAGTGTCTTTCCAAGTAATCCCTTATTTCTACAAAACATTTCCATATGGGAAGCTCTATCACTGAGCAGATGCACTGCAAACAGTGTGGTCAGTGCTTTGTGCAGATGCTGATATGGGCTGCTGAACACCCAGAACAGTGGAGAGGCTCTGGCAGAGCTGCCCTGAACCTCTAAATGTGAAACTGATGCCTGGGGCTGAAAATTGATCTGTAGCATTAAACTCCAACCACAGAATGGGCATCACCACTTGGAAGGGAAGCAGATAACTGGTATTAGCTCATCTGGTAAAGATGAGTAGCTGGACAGGGTCTGAAGAATTCTTGCAGATACAAAACCCTTACCTTGAACTTTGTGGAAAATTGATTCAAAACACAAATTTGCACCAGATACTTATTTATGTAATGTGTCTGAGATATAACCCTGATCCAAATCCTTTTTTGCAGGGTAGAGCTGAGATCTGGCTCTCCACTGACCCTGCAGGACAGCCTGTCCACAGTTCAGTAATGCCAGAAAGCAGACAAACATACTCTTAAGAAAAAGTCTTCCTTTTTTCCTTCCCCTTTCCCTTCCTTTTTTTTTTGTTTTTTCCTCTTCCTCCCTCCTTTATTTCTTTCTCTTTCTCTTCTTTTCTTTTTATTTATTTTTTTTTTTAAGGGAAAATTTGTTGCAATAATACAAACCCATCATGCTCTCTCTGGTTACAGCTGAGTGACACTACATCAGCAGCAGAATATGTACAAATTAAACTGTAACAACGCACCAAGGAGAGGCACAGCAATATCATAAAAATTATCCACAGTACAATATGACTAATGTTGTGTGAAATGCATTCATTGGCCAAATGATGTCTAGGTGTATCTTAAGGAGTTATGCTGATGGAGATAATGGTTATAGAACAGAGATAAAGGAAGGAAAGGCGAGTGAAAGACAAAAGGTTGCAGCAAGGGCAGCCTGGCTGGGGAGGATGCTCAAGCAGGTGAGTTTGAACAGGAAAGCTGAGCTGCTCTGGAATGCAGAAGGATGTGAGAAGAACTCAGTGGCACCTTTCCTCCTCACATGTCTGATGTGGAGGTGTGCTGCTGTTTCAGGCACACACACACATTCCTGTGCTCCTTCTCACCTCCTTTTAAGTGGACTTTTTGCAAACATTTATCTAGAAACACAAGCTGCCTATCTGTTAAATATTCTCTGGCTCTGTTGCTTATAGAAATTTCTTTGTTTTCCCTTTCTAAATAAAAAAAAAAAAAACAACAAAAAATAAAAAACCCAAAGGGATGAGACTGATTTTATTAGCATGTCCAAAACCAAGATAGGAACTCAAACATAGCCAGAGGATGGATAGAGTAAACACATCATTAGGGAGCACTCAGAAGTTGTCATTTCATTTCTTAATCTGAGAGTCTTTGTGAAATGAGTAAATGTCTTGCCTATATAAGAAACTTGGCTATTGGTAAGTCAGTGTGATTTTCCTTTTTGCTAAATATAGATTTAGAAAAAAAATCTGTCCAGTGACCCATTGCACCATCATGCTTACCCAGAGATGTTTATCTAGACATGAACATTCTGTTTTCAAAGGAACTTAGGGATTACCTAAGTAAATCTTATTTTACATCTAAATTACATTTTCCAAAACATCTCAGGTGAGCCTCTACCTCACTGAGTGTCTCTTAAAAACCTAAGTACTTTTAAAAATCAGCAAACTTGTCAGCAAAGTGAAATAAATGAAATAAAATCAACCTCTGTGCAGTTGGTAACTGGAGTTCAGGGCCTGGTCTCTGATGAGGTCTCAGCCTCTCAAATTACTGGAAAAAAAGAGTATTTTCATGGTATTCCTGATTATTTGTTACCTGGCTGGATATAAAGACAGAGCCTAGGTGAAAATCATCCAGCAGTTGTTGTTTCTGATGTGTGGGACCATGTTAACCAGGGGATTTTTTCTCATTTATTGATATGCACAAGGATGAGATGTAGACCCAGCCAAAAATGCTGGGATCCAACTACTTTCAAAGTCCTAAGATATCCAGAATGGGGAGTTAATTTTGTCTCCTAGTGAAGATAGGGGGTCCCCATGGAACATTTCAATGGGAGGCAAAGCTCTCCATGGACATGGGGTGTGCAGGACTGAGCATTTCTGTTCTGCTTCAAAGGGAGAGGAGGAGGGAGCGATGAGATAAAATCATTTTTTTCAGCCCTAAACCTGACTTGGATCTGGGGGCGCTTTGTGAACCTTGTAAAGCTTTTTCTCCAGCCAACTACCTTCACTCACTGCTGAGGACATGCCAGGAATTCCCTAGCAAAAGAAGCTGCCAAAACCCAGGGAGTTGTGATAAGTCTCTGCTATCACATCCGAAAAGCCTCAGTCAAGGCTGCTCTTCCCCCAGGCGGGCAGGGGCACGGCGTGGCCAGAGAGGAACATCTTCAGCCTATAGCCCAGGCTCTGTTATTCTATAACAGAGCACAGCTCTCTGTGCTGCAGCCTTGTGTTCTTACAGGGCTGTGATGGCTCTGTGCAGGAGAATTTCTGCATTCCCTGTTCATTGGGGTACAAATTTCAGCCATGCACTCTGGGGGCAGGAAAGCTTCTCCTTCGCTCTGACAGGACGGTGTGCAGAAACACAGCGAGCTCAACCTTGAGAAGGGGGAGAGGCACTCTGGGACCCAGGCTGGTTTATATCTCAGCTGATTCTCCTCTTTCTCTCTTCTGTATCCCCTTAATAGCTTGACATCTGTATCCCCTTAATAGCTTGACAGGAGAAATATAGGGAAGATACAGCCATCTGATTAACAGTGCCGGGGGCTGGGGATGGATGACAAGGAAAGGGAGCGCAGCGTGGCTACCAGCCAAGTTCCAGCAAGAAACAGAATATCTGGCTTCCTCTAATCTCTGGAGGAAAATTAAGTTACAAAAACCTTTAGTGGAAACTTTGCATACATTCAGTACCATTGCCATGCCTGACAGTAAAAAAAAACAAAACCCTGATATATTATTTAGTTTATAGTTATAGAATTAAAGGCGCAAGCTTTCCCACCAGGAATAAAGGAAAAAAAATCCTCTTGAAAACTAAAGACAAAGCCCTGTAAAACCCCTTGAATGTTTTGTGCTCTCAGAGCTCTTGAGAAATTCTCCTTTTTGTGTTAATGGATGGTTGTATGAATTGTGTGAAGAAGTCTGAATGTCTTCCCAATTAATTTGTGCATTTACATGTAGATCCCTTCTTGTTTTCTGAGCTGTTTGCTCTGCCTCCTGCAGGAGCAGTGGAGGAGAAGGTGGAGGTGGAGGTGGGGAAAAGGCTCCAAATTGCCCTGGCCAGACACCAATGTCCCAGGAAAGGGCTTAGGGTGCTCCTGCCACCACTGAGCCTCGGAGCCATGGCCATCGCCTTGCTGCTCATCAGAAATGTGTGTGCTACACACAGAGAGGAATTCCTCCCCCTCCTCCATGTCTGTCAGCAATGTGTTGATGAAAAATAGTGGAGTTTGATTTTAAGAAAATAGCTTGGGTGTTAAGTGAGCAACAAGCTGGGACCTGTGCATATGAGAGACAGCGCTGATTAAAATGAAATAGCCTCTTTATTGACTATTACATATTAAGCAGTTGGAGTAACCATGATGAAAGTATTACTTACATGTTACTCAGCTTTATGAGAGGGGAAAAAAAGAAGTTAGATTGGCTGGTTAGAAGTTTTCTTCATTAAGCCTTACAGTATGTTGATCTATGTACAAAACACAATATTTTTCACGTCAGAAACATGAACCAAGGGTCTGAACAGCCAGTGCCTGGCTCAGCAGCATGCCTTCCCCTGGCTGGCTGGGCTCTCCTCTTGCTGGACATCCAGGCTGGTGGGAATCTGGCTCTGCTTCCTCCAAGAGGAGAAAGCACAGATGCATTTTGCAGCATTTCCCTCCACCTTGCTGCAGACAGTTTGCTCCCAACCCTCCTCATGTGATTCCTTCACCAGCCTTGTCTGAAGGGAACATTTCCCATGCAGAGGAAAGTTAAGAGCCGTGTTTACATGCCATTTCCCTTCTGAGAGCTTTATTTCTCTTCAGCCTCAGGGACCTCAACACCAGCCAAAACTCAAT